AAGTTTGTACCAACATTTTTCGGTAGGCTATTTTAGTAGGGGAACCCTCCCAACCAAACAAGGGGTGAGAAAGGGCACTAGTGGGGGACCTAGTTGAAAGGAACTGACTGGAAGAGTCACTTCTGGAGTCTACGGGAATCTGGAAGGAATCTACTGGATGGAACCTACTGGGTTTGAAAACAATCACTTCTGGAATCGTGTGTTGTCTTAAAGGGGACCTGGAAAGATTGCTTATTGTTTCCAGGGTGCCTATCCACAAATGAAAGGCGCCAATGTCTAACATAGCGTAACCACTACCCCCAAGGCGAAATGGAGCAAATAACCCAATTCTTTTTCATACAGGTTGCAAATTCAATCTCCGTTTGGGGGGGGTAGCGGTTTCGGGGTGCTTGGATGGTCAACCAACGTCAGGTAAGTAGGTTGTAACCATGGCAAGAAGGAGACGATAGCCCCAGTACCCTAAGTCATAACCATGCCTATATCCTACTCACCTGACGTTTGTTGAACATGCCCTGCCAAACAAGAAGAGAACCACACAAACAAAAGACCTGAGAACTTGCCAACAACAGTGAAGGACAGATTCTTGGATCACAGAAAAGTCGGTGAGCCATGATGCACAATCATTGAACCCATGGACTTGTGTCATACACTGCTGCAATTAAGGAAAATTATGCCGTCTACTTTCGCCGGACGCTCTGACCAAGGAGCTTCCTGTCACCCCTTGCAACCAGGCATGTAGGCAGAACCATTCCTTTGACTACCGGCTCTGGAAACAGCAACATCGTTGGCCAGCCAGGCCATTCTTTTCGTTTTTCATCCATGTACCAGTAAACAGGAGCAATCGCAAAACGTCAGTGTGATGCCGTGAGCAACGGAGGGGGCCTGCCCAGAGTGGCCGCCCAGCCCCGAAGCCGTATCAACTGCTTTGGGGAAAAAAAACAGCGGGGTAGTTGGGGCGGCTCTGCCTTAAAAAAAAAAAAATGCCCAGATTTGCATGCCCTTCTTGAGGGCCTGGCCCGGGGAAGCCTTTGCGGGCGAGTTAAACCAAACCAGAAACAAGGCCCGCAACTCGGTTGCTGTACCGACCCATTCATTTCATTAAAGCCATTAAATAATACCATATATTTAAAATTCTAATGATTCTAATGATCACAAACAAACTCATAAAACCTTGAATTAACATAAACATCATAACCATCCCTCTGCAAAAAGTTTACTCACTCCCCGAGTGGATTGGCCGAAAAGCATGAACTTGTTTTGAAGCTTGAACTGTTTGTGAGGTCAATGGAAAATCCTCTGTTTCCCAAAAAGTTACAGTCCGAAGATGCAACCAAAAAGACACAAAGGCGAGGCCTGTTTCCGACCCGGGTGAATCCAAAAAACCCTAAGCCCCGAGAATGTAAATTCAACAGGTGTGAGCTCAAATTCAAACAAGGGCCGGATGGAACCGCGGTCCATCGGGCGAGGCTTGTTTCGTCGCCCGTTAGGGACCTGATGACTTGAGTTCAAAAGGCATGCCTTTTCTTTTCTTAGTTCATGCCGCCTGGAACGGATATCTTGGATGAAAAGAAAAAGGAGAAAAGGCTTTGACTTGGATTAATAAAAAAAGAAAAGACACGGAGCCGCCTCGAACCCTTCAAAAGCACTACGCAGGGGACCGGGGATGGGGCCAAGCGAAAGCCCAGCGAAGTCACGCCCGCCTGTGCGGTTCTGGAAGCACTTGCGTACCTCAGAAAAGTCTCACCCTCCCAGAGACATGCAGCAACCAGGTCCTCCAGTAGAGAGGTTAGAACCAGTAGAGGAACCCGCCCCCAAGAAAGGGAAAAAGGGCACTACTGGGGGACCTAGGCAACATATCCAATAGCTCTTTTCCACCAGCACTCCTCACTTGAGTGGATAGTCTCTGCATGTGTCCATACTGAAATGGCAACCAGACTCCCGAGGCTAGTTCCCCAACAGCAGGTTCCCCCAAAAGGCGGCAGTGGCAATGTTCTTGTTGGGTCTTGTGACGCGGACTCATGAGGGACGACAAGGGTGAACCAAAGCAACAAACACTAGGTTTGTTGTTGGGAAGGGTTCTGCAGACTACGTAAATGCCGCCACCACTGTTTGCAGGTCAGCAAGAAACATCCGTTTTCCCCCACTTTTTACAGCAACACAACTTTCGGGAGGGAAAGCAACAGCACACATCGACACTCCTGCAAATGAACATAACGCACCACTTCCTTAGAGGAATCTCCTTTCGGGGAGTGGACCCGTGGAAGCCCACCGGCTCTCAAAAAGGGAAAAGCAACCCATTGAGAAAGGACATCCACCAGGGGTCGCTGGATGTCCCTTTCAAAAGTTGATCCATTTCCTGGTGGTTGCCATTGAAACGGTTGCCACTTGTGGAATGTCCCTTTCAACAGGGACATGGCATTTGCAATATGCGCGGAAACCCCCGGGCCTGCCGTCGTCTAGGGGAACCCTGCAACAGGATCCGAGCTTTCTCCTTGGTTTCCCTTGAAAAAACAACCCCAGTCCAGCTTCGTGAGCTGAACACCTCTTTGGCCTCTGAAACCGCCCCGAATTTTGGGCGAGGATCAGTTCACTTGTTTGTTACATATATATATATATGTATTTATATATATATATATATATGTGTATATATATATATATGTATATAACATTTGAATAACCAACAACTGCATCACGGGTCTAAAAGCCCGTTCCAAGAAGACAAACGACGCTCCGAAACCCAATCGCCCAGCCTCAAGCCCTCAGAATCTGGACTTTCTTCCACCCCGCTGCGCGCCCCAGCAACTTGTCTCGGTTGCTTTCTGCTCCCCTGCTAAAAGTGGCTAACTTTTAGTGGTTTAGTACGGAAAACCCATGAGTTGGCAAAATGTTAAAGTCCTAACAGCCAAGCAAAATCCACCTCCATTTGCTTAAGTCCCCTGGAGAAAAAACATATTTCCAGTAGTCATAGATTCCCTTTAAAGCCAACAGGGGAAAAAACAAAAAAAACATATTCTCAACCAAATGGAAGCAACAGCCTTGGCAGGAGTTTGCCACCCGACATCCTTTCTACCCAGGCGGCCGTGGAGGGCAGGCCAGTGGTCCACTTCTCCACCAGCGACAGCTTCGCGGGCGCCTGGGCCTGCGGCACCATGGAGCCCTCCAGCTCCTCGGCACTCCGCGGGCTTTTGGATTTTACGCCGGGGAAAAACCGGGGGGAAGACCACTAGAAGAGTACTAGAAGAGTACTAAACAGGGGGAAGACCACTAAAACAGGGGGAATATGCAAAGACGTAAAGACGACTAAAAGAGTTTAGAAACAAGTTAACCAAACAAAAAAAAGAACAGGTACAAACCGTTGTCTAGAGATTCGGATCCGTCGGGTCGATCCGTCGGCTCGATCCGTCGGATCCGCTCGGAGCGAGGATCCGGCCGGGGACCCGAAGTCTCGGTCTCTCCGAGTGCCTGGGCCTCAAGGTGTTATCTAGGTCCTCCAGCTTTCACGCTGTTGAACTCTCCCAGCTTCCTTGCTTGTTCCTAGGTCCAGTTTTGAGAGGTTATAAGTTGGCACCCGACTTTTTCTCTGCAGTCTATTTTAGTAGGGGACCCCTCCCCCCCAAAAAAATGAGAAAGGGCACTGCTGGGGGGCCTTGTTGTCTCTCCGCACCAAAAATGGGTCATGCTGTGAATGGTTGCGAAATCCAAATCCTGCACCACGAAAGGAAACCATGGCTGAAACCATTGATTGGCATTTAAGGCGGAATCATCATTCCAGGGATTCGCGTGTGGTGCGAAGTGGATTTCGTCCATCCACAGTAGGCATGGCCCCTTTTTGGACCCTGCCATGTTCTTTCCAACATGCAAAAATGAATGAGTCATAGGTATGGCGGCTTGTCGCCTTTTCAAATGGGGTTTCTTGGGTGGTGCTGGACTTCATCCATCCACAGTATGGCTGGTAAGGATCCGAACAGTACCCATCATGATATATTTTCTTCAAACAAAATACGGGAACCATGGCCCAGTTGGTACCCCCTTGCTGTAGTTTCAAACTTCTTGAAGGGAAATCAATCGGAAAGCCACCATGTGGGGGTCTAAAGAAGACACGCCAAAATCAAACGATGTGGTCGTCGAGTTCTCCTAGGGGCTCATGCGTTCTTGGCTCGTACACGCACACACGAGTTTTGTTGTTGATGCCTGTCCTTACGACCACCGAAGACCATTGGAGTCACAATCAAAACCTGGTATTGACATTGTCTTTATGGCTGTCTACCCAAAACCATGCTTCAAGAATTGAAAAGGCGGCAATCCGAGCCTAGTTTTGGCTGTCTACCCAAAAGCATGCTTCAAGAATTGATGGCTGGGATTGTCCCTTACCCTTCAACTTTCCGGGTTTTGATTGTGACTCATTTGAAAACCGAAGGCCACCTATCCAAGGCGCAGGTCTGCCCGCGTGGAAACAAACCTATTTCACCCGGGCCCCGAGTGTCTCAGGCTCAAAGCAGTCCGGAACATCTACCTGAACCCTTAAACTACCCATAAAAATGGGAAGTCACCAGCCATCATTTTGGGTTGCAATAACCATCTTTAAGTTGGAATGTTGAGGGTCCAGGTTGCCTCATTGTCAGGCAAGACCCTGTCTCAAAACAACCCCGTTTTGCTCGGGCCATTTATTGAAACATTTCTGCCCCATCGCAGAACGGACTCTCCCTTAAACGGACAAGCAAATGATGTTGGTTGGGGGTCACGTGAATTTTCTGGGTGAATTGTAATATTTCCGCAACCTGAAATAAGGTGGTTGGGGGGATATTCCGCACATACACCACTTGGAGTGAGGCCGTGTGAGATCGTTATAAATCACTCATAATTTTCAGGAGGGTTCTTTACACGTAACCTCTCGCAATCATGTTTGGTTACGACCCATGTCTGGGGAGGACTCTGACGAAACTGCCTTCCTTTCTTTCTTTTTGTTCTTTTTGTCTCGATGCTTTGTCTCCCGAAGGGCCTCAGGGCGCGTCCTGCAGATTGATGCGGTAGTAAAATTGCACCGTGTTCGGCCCGGGGCCCGCTCTTGTTGAAAGCGTAGGAAGCTGGAAGCGGGTGTAGGAGGCATATTGAAACTCCATGTGCTTGTCTGAGTGGAGGTATTCCGACTCGTCCCAGCGGGGCGCATATGGCTCCGGGAAGGATCTGTTGGCCCACCACTTGAGGAAGCCTTGGCCGTCGATGGAATGGGCCAGGCAGGCGGCAGCGAGCTCGGGCCAGGGGCCGTAGCTCATCTTCCCCTTGCGGCTCCAGAAGTTGGTGGGCACCGTGTGCACCTGGCCCAGCCAGTCCGCCATGTCTTTGGGACTGGCCTCCCACCAGGGATCATTCATGATCTTCGTGATGCTGGCCACTTTGAAGCGAAGGCTTGGGAGCAAAAGCCATTCCTTTTCAGCGGCATTCCACTCACTGACATCCTTCCCGTGCCGGGTCTCAAATGTCAAGTAGGTGGGAAAAGCCGCGCCCTTCTCAATGCACTCGTTGGCACACGTCTGTGGCTCGCTTTTCCTGCCCATGAAGGTGGAAGCGTGGCTGCTGTCGCTGGAGGTCGACTGGAACCATGGGAAGTTGATCGCAGAACCAGAGTCCAAGGCTGCCTCACTCGCTTTCTTGCTGAGCAGCGGCTGGTTCCAAAACAAACATCCAAGCGGTGGTTTCCTTCCAGAGCCCTGGGTTCATTCCCCCCCACAATCCCTAGCTTTTCAAGCAGCACACCCCTCGGGGGTTGGTACGGCACAAAGGGTTGGAGTGAGCCCGCTAGCAGAAACAGAAGTCTCTCCCAAATCGCTCAAGCGCGTTACTGCGCAGTCTCATGAAGAAAATCGGGCCGTGTGCGAATGTGGTGTCTTTCGAGGGGGTGCCCACTGTGGAGCCATCTAAAAAAGATGGCATCCAGTGCTCCGAAGCTGCCCCAAATCAAGAAGTTCGGGCAACTAATTAAGGGTTGCAAAGTGCTTTTGGCACGCACAAAAGCAAACTCTAAACCACTCTAATTCAAGCACTCCAAGATGCTCTTTCTATCGTTTTGCGGACGGACCCAGTCGGCAGAAAATGGTGCATCTAGGGGTCCCATTGAGGAAGGGGCACTGTTAACAACTAGCCCCATTATTCTACCATGATCAAAGTCACCCCCGTTCAGTGGTGGGTGAAAGGGAACAGCCCCATCTTCTCTCTTTGACCCCCAGAAAAGGTCAAAATCATGACCCCTGGACCAGCCACCTGCATCTCCTGCAGCTGCTCCATAGAGGTCCAGCCTCCTCGGTACAGCTGCGCGACCCCCGAGGCCGGCAGCTTGTTCAACGCGTTGCCCAACAACACCTCGAAGCTCAAGACGCCTTTCACCGCCGACGTGGTGCTGCCAAGGTGCCCGAACCCTTCCTCTGTCCATATTCCGTGTTCGGATGCGCGAACAATTCCCAACTTTTAGTGGGCTAAATAGGGAAAACCCAACACTAATCCGTTCCCCCTATTAATAAAGGTCTCCCTAATAATAAATATTTGTTTCGGAAGTCCCAAATCCGGGAATACTACTTTTAGAATAGCCAATACTAAACCAATTCTAAAGTAGATATTTTTCTGCCCGTACTCAAATCCAGCCCCATTAGGGGGACCCCGGGGGCACGTTTCCTTTACTACGGCTGTACTACAAAGTTGCGACTTTCGAGCCAGAGCTCCAGGAGCACGTTTCCTTTACTACGGTTGTACTACAAAGTTGCGACTTTCGAGCCAGAGCTCCGGGAGCACGTTTCCTTTACTACGGTTGTACTACAAAGTTGCGACTTTCGAGCCAGAGCTCCGGGAGTACGTTTCCTTTGAGAACCTGCCCTCCAAAACCTGCCCTCCAGAACCAGGGGACCCCTAATAATAAAAATTGTTTTGCAGGCCGGGTATTTTTTTTATTAGGGAGGGGGGGGGAAGGGATTAAAAAGCTAAAAAGCTAAAAAGCTAAAAGCTAAAAAGCGAAAAGGCTAAGGAACCGGAAGGCTGGGAGCCAAGCTTCGAACTGCTTGGGCAATTGGCCATGGCCTATTTGGCCCATGGGGCGGGCATAGTCATAGCTGCCGAGGTAGTTGTCCAGGGTTTCGAGCTCTTCAGGCGTCAGGCTCGCCCCCTGCAGCGCCGGATCCCACCAGTTTAAGGACTTCCACGCATCTGATGTGGGGTGCTCCGATTTGAGCACCACCTCCTCACCGCAAACCTTCACCCGGACCCCATCCGGCACGCCTGCAACTTCGGCTTGCAGGAGGCTTTGATACCCACACTGCTTCGTTTGGACAACCACTCGCGCTGCAGAGGCCGGTTGTGCACTCAGGACCAGCACGCCCAAAGCGTAGCACGAACGCATCAAAACAAACACAACTAGTTCGAAGACAACTTGAGAGCCTCTGGCAACTCGCGGTCAGCATGCATCCCGGTTCACAACATAGGGGTCGGCTAGGTTGGAACTTCCCAAGTGGCAACAGGCTTGGGCAACCGAATTGGGGAACCCGATTGGCCAAAGGCCAAACCTCTTTGTTTGGCACCGAAAGTCTTCCATTTGGTTAAGGCCCCCAGAGGAAAAAAAAACAAACAAACAAAAATGTCCAGTAGTGATGAATTATTTTAAAACCAACAAGGGAAAATAAAACATATCTTAAGCAAATGGAGGAAGTAGGACTCGCCGATGTATACTTGACAGCCCAAAAAGAAGTCACCAGTCGGCGGCAAGTCAAGACTCCGCACAAAAACCAATTTGGTTTTGGGCATCATATCTTTCGTGGGGCCCAAGGCCCCTCTTATGCCACTTCCTGAGTTGGCTGGCTAGAAAAGTACCCACACTTGTTGTTTACAGCTCAAATGGTCCAACCCCAAAAAGCTTTTTATACAGTCCAGAACTCAGGGAGTGAGTTCTTGGCTGCCACCAAAACAGGCTTTATGAACTCAGGGAGTGCTTCAACTACCCCATATCACAAGTGCGGAACCTGCTCCGGCCTTGATTGCTCCGGCCCTCACCCAACCAAATTCTGCAAGTACATATCACCAGCACCATCCTGAAAGCAGTAACCTCCACGAAAGCAGCTCTCATGGAGGCCGCAAAGCCAAGCCCCTCCCCCAAACCCCCCCCCAAAAAAAAAAGAACATTGCGAGGTAACTATAGTGGACTTGCCCGGAATGGCTTCATGTTTAGGGCCGCAGCGGGCAAAAAAACAAAAAAACCGCCATCATGTCTGCTTTGCTTTGAAGGCTCCGACCAGTCGGGGTGGGCGTTCATGAACTCCTGCGCATTTCTCGGAATGGCCGGGCTGAGGGGCTAGCCTTCCCAGCGCAAAAAAATACAATCATGGGAATCCAGCAGGGAGGTTGGAATAAGGGTACCCTTTTTTCTGTAGGGGAATCCCCCCAAAAAGGATAAAAGGGCACTGCGGGACCTAGTAATGTTGACCCAGGATTCATAAACCTGTCCCATTATTAGGGGGTTGTTCCCTCCAACAGAGGCCTGAATCCAAGCACGAAACGGGGACACCCCCGATCACAAGTCAACGCAGGGGTTTGTAAATGGGGGTTCACCTTATTCCCTCGAGCTCACTGCCCGGACCAGAACCACCCCAAACTCCAAACCCAACAGCCGGGGTGCCCAATGACTCTGGAACCCTTTCGGAACCTAGTCTAGCTTCGTGACTTTGCGCAAGTATTTCCATTTCCCGAGTCGTTGCACAGTCCTATTCTATGCAAGTCGATTTTCCCAAGCCACTTTGAGTAAGTTTGTCTGTTCAATTTACCACACTTTGCGCAACTCCCTCCACGCAGGACTTGCGCAAGTCTCTCCGCGCAAGTCTCTCCGCGGAAGTCACCGCGCGAGTTGCCATGAGCAAGTCGCCCACCACAAGTCAGCCATCTACGCAAGGCACACGGAAGGCACGCCCCAGTCATGTTCTACCACGATTGAGTCACTCAAGTAGTAGAGCCACCTACTCCACCCGTTCGCAAGCGAGATCGAAGCCCCCCCTTCAAGAGTGACCCCGAACGCAATGCATGTTCTTCCTGGGTGAAACAGTGTCTCTGCCTTGGTTAGCGGGCTATCCACCCGCTAAACTGGCCAATAGGGATTTTGAGCGCTGCGTTTAATTCTGCTCACATGGACAAACTGGCGCACATCCGGGGACCACAGAAGATGATATTTTCTGATTGCATGCTTCTGCTTCATCCCCAACGGAGGGGTGCCCCCATTCCGTTTTTCTCGTCTCCCTATGAAAAGGAAAATGGAACCACAAATGGAATTCCGGGGCCCTCCCCAATTCCATGTTTAAGAGGGGTGGGGATCTGCTTCACATTACCGCAGCGGTACTAATCGTCTGCCCCTGGTTTTGTATCGTCGCCCTGCCCGAAAACATCCCGACCACACGTGCTGCGCTCGCTGGCTCACAAGTCGCGAGGTCCTTGTAGTCGAATTTCTGGGTCACCGCGATGTCCGACTGATTGAAGTCTCCTCAGCCAGGTGCCTTTCCATACAAGAACGCTATTTGCCAATTCTTAGTTTGTTGGTGGATGTTAACGGGAAACCCATCCCCCCCCCCCCAAAAAAAAAAAACACACACACACACAAACAACAAAAACATACAAAAACACACAACACAAAAGCAAAGAAAACGGGTGGGACACCAACCTCCCCCCCCGGCCCCGGCTCAGAAAACAAACAAACAAACATGGGAAACACGGGGTAGGAGCCCCCATTAGGCCAAAGGGTGGACGCAACTGGCTGGGCAAAGCTCCTGTCTTGCAGTTGTAGATGCCGATGGAGCGGCCCCAGGCCTGCACTACTGTGGATGGACCAAATCCATTTCGCACCACTTTGACCATGGTTGAAACCATGACGTTGGTTGGTATTTACAGGGGAATCATCAGAAACGAGGGTCTCCTGGGTGGTGCAGGATTTCGTCCATCCACAGTAGGAAACGGTTTGGATGCGCTTCTTACCCAGAGGCTCCTGGCTTCGGCTTTCAATGGAAGACGCGACCCCTCCACTAGACACCTAGGTGGTTGGGACCCGGTCTCAAAACCAGGTTTGACGGCCCTAAATCGAATTGGAGCCTCTGGGTACGTGGATCTCTTCTCCCCCCTGGCCGGTTCGTGTTTTTGGTACTCTCTCAAGATGCTAATATTTTTTAGCATCCACGCCGTTTAGATCACTTGCCCCCGTTTGCAAGTCGAAATGATCGCGGTGATCACCTAGTCCAATGGTCAATCTTGGCCTTGGGCTGTGAGTCGAGCAAGGGGAAGCCCCAGCCTCGATTGTCCAACATGGAATGGCAAATCCATCCCCCATATGTCCTAGGTCCTCCAGATTTGAGAGGATAGAATAAGTTGGTACCCGATTCTTTTCTGCGGTCTATTTTAATAGGGGAACCCTCCCCAAAAAAAGAAACGGTAAAAGGGCGCTACTGGGGGACCTAGTGTCACACAGCATGGACTGCGGGGACTGCGATTTCTGGCTTGCATGGACTCTTTACCCCTCTTCTCGGTCCAACAGATCCATTCGGGTGGATTCTTTTCCAAGATCCCCACGTCCGAAATGGCGAACTTCTCTTTACCAACCAGAGGGCATCCCATAACGGGGAATCAAACCTCACTTGCCCAAAGGACCTGCAAATGAAAGGTTAACCTTTTGGGACCTCTACTAAAAATAGACCAAGAAGGGAAAACCAAAAGGTCAAAAGGTAAACAGGAAAAAAAACATTTCGGGTGGATTCGCTTTGCGCAAGTGAGAGTGTCGAGCCGATCATTTTTGACTGGCTCCTGTCCAGTGCCAAGGGAAACCTCCCAGATTTGAATTTACACTTGGTGTGGTTCCTTTGTTTGAGTCGGTACCCCCTGTTTGATGGATTCTCAAGAAAAAAACCCAAGGCAAACCACCATATGGGGGTGTCCGATTCAAAAAGACAGAGCCTCCTTGCTTTGTGATACTGCAGCCATCCGTTTACGAAAGCCAAGCCCCATTTCCAAAAGGTCAACGAGTTTCGGTGAGATTTCTTTGGACTTGAAGGACCCAAGCTGAACCCTGCGCAACATCCGTGCGACAAATGTGGCTCTTTGGAAACAACCTAGGTCCTCCAGATTTGAGAGGTTATAAGTTGGTACCCTATTTTTCTTGGGTCTATTTTAGTAGGGGAACCCTCCCAACCAAAAAAGAACCGGTGAAAAAGGGTACTACTGCAAGACCTAGCCACCATATGGCTGTGGTTGTCAAACCGTTTTGGGATCCCATTTTGGGGTAGATGAATTCACCCCCCCGCCCCCCCCCAAAAAAAAATGAAAACAGTGGAGAAAAAAAACAAAGCGGGCACCAATTGCTGGGGGACCTAGTCATGGAACCAGAAATCCACTTGGAACCATAAATCTCCATAAGGACCAGGCTCCACTACAGTCGCAACTCACCATGGCTGTAGCTTCCCCCTCGCATTCCAAGAGCCAACTAAAAAACCCTCGCGGGGAGGTTCGGTTCCTCGGCCGCGTCAGTCGAAATCACTCGCGCCTTGCCCTGCTGGTCCACCCAGCCCATCACCTCGCTCTGGGTCTCCGAGGCATCGCCTCAGCCGACCGCTCGCGCCGCTCGAGGGGGCAAGCGGCTTCCCACTTGAAGCACGCCCCGCCCACTTCATTCTGACCCCAGAAAAAATTAACCCCAGGATATGTTTTCGTTTTTTTTTTGGGGGGGGGCCCACTTCATTCTGGCCCGAGAAAAATCAACCCCTGGATATGTTTTCTTTTTTGTAGGGGGTGTCTTGCTCAAAGAGTGATGACGCTTTAGGCATATTCCGGCGCCACGACTTGAAGGACCCCCCCTGCACTTGGTTCACGTTGGAAGGGGAGCAAAAAATGATGATTAGTCAGTGAAGTGCTTGGATTCCAACCACGAAAAACCACAATAAGCCAAAATGTAAGATGGTGAACAACAACCATGACATACCATGACTTCATGTTGACCGCATACTGAGGATGGACGCGACCAGTTGTGGATGGGGTCAGCATGAAGTGAATAATTCCAGTTGTGGATGGACAAGACCAGTTTGCACCAAGGATGATGTCGTTTGCTAACCAGTGTTCCCTCCTTTGCTTGGGATACAGGGGTGACTTTTGGGTACGATAGAAGAGGAGCTTGTCCAAACAAGAACAGAGTCGGAAAATATTATGTTCTGAGCTCCGCAAATGTGAGCCAACAATACCGGGGACAGAATCCACACGCTACCCGTTCGAACCTCATGTTCATTCCAAAAACAAGGCAAACGAAACAAAGCCCTTTAAACTGGCCCCTTCATTTTACATGATCAAAGTCACCCCGTAAGTGGTATGTTTTCTGGGAAACAGCTCCAGTTTCTCACTTTGATAATTTTAATTTTCCAGAAACAGTCAAAATACTAACCCCTGTTAAAGGCTGCAAAGGGCCCTTGAAATGTTTGTTGCCACCCAACCCCGGACATTCCCTGGAAGTCGCAGCCCCGCACTTTGCAGGGGTACAAAACCAAAGGGAACAAAGCACTTCAATGGCCTACACTCCATGGAACCGGCCAAAAAGGTCCACCCCTCCACCTTGGATTTGTGACATCTAAAAGCGTCCACGCCGTGCTTTTTCAGAAACCTTGGACCACCGAAACGACGATTTTTCCAACATGTTTGGGGCCTGTGGTCGAAGAAGGTTGGATGTTGTAGCACTCTCTTTCCGAAGTGCTGAGCCACCGACGTGGAAACACGAAGACTACCGTCTTAACGCTGTCTCAGACTGGTTCGCTTGCCTCTGAATAGGTGACACCAGGAAGTGTTCCGGTTTGGAGTTCCCTCTAATTAGTGGTTTCAAGGTAGAGTTGGTTTCCTATTTACCCTCTGCAACCAGGGCTTCAAATCTACCACCAATGCAGTTACAAGACTTGATTGCATGAGCCAGCCTGGGTTTGAGCGAAACGTGATACTCACGGCGTCGGGCTCTGTGGGGGATTTAAGTGGACGCCTGGAAAGAAGCCTGCCGGATCAACAATAATTTCGCATATAAGATGTCCCCGCAACACATGACGGAGGCTCCCCGAATGCCTTTTGTTGGGGTTCCACGTTAACTTGTAGGGGAGTACTGTAATCAGTCTCGGCATCTCACAGGGTCACAACACTTGGCCCAACTCTGGGGTAGGTGACAAGTCATATGATCAGATGATGTTTCGTAGCATATGCATGTATATCTGCAAACATTTAAGCAGAAACAAGAAACAACATACCCTCCAGGCGATTCCAGGGAAGCTTTGGAACCCTAAAGGTTCCATTTCGCCCGTGGCAAATTGAACCAGCTTCCGGCTGTGAGCCTGAGGGAGTGCATGTCAATCATTTTTCAGGGGAATTCCCTTGGGACATCTAGGTTTTCGTGGCAAGAGGGGATTCCCCGAACATCTGGGCTTTCCCAAAACCTGCGAGGCGACCAAAGGCTGGCAAGCGGCAGGTGTCGAGCTTGCACCCGGCGAAGGTTGGCACGCACCTCGCCGAGGCCGGAGGCAGAAGTTTAGACGCCTCCCGTTGGTTCTAGAGATGGCGGTAGACAGGCTGCACATTCAACGTGGGAGAGGGGTCCTGGTTTGGACCCTTTTCCTTTCAAACAAACCGGGTCCCGAACGTCAAGTTCCATGTTATTGGAGAGAGTAAGGTTTGCCGGAGGCCTGACCCGCTGAAACTCAGCGTAGAACCACCAACCAAAACAACCGAACCAAAGGGTATTGAGCACTTGCTCAACTATTCTCTTGCGCATACCCCCCGCAAAAAAAAAAAGACAGGAGGAGGGCGTGCGATGGTTTTCCTTTAGGGTTGGGGGGCGTTAGATGGCTGGGCTGCAGTGGCTGCCCTTGCGACAGCTGATGAATATACCAGCTACCCCATCTCGCCGCAACATAGCCGCCACATAGCGGCGCGTGCCTTGACACATGGCAACCTTCAGCCCAAAGGGTGGCATGGAGAAGCATGGCTGACCAGACAAAGAAACCGCAAGGAACCATCAGAAACTCACATCAGGAGCTTGGTTGCTGTTGTTGACCCGTCTGCAAAAAGTTCAACAACTTCTTGTGGGTCTAGTAGAAAATCCCAGTTTCCAAACAAAAGTTATAGTCCAAAAAACTAGACAGCCACAAAGGGAGCACATCCCTGGGACTCCTTTTTAGATGCAAAGCCGCTGAGCCATCACCACTGTTGGCAACCCTCTCATGGCTTCTTAAGTCACATGTACCACGTCCAGGAGCTGTATTTTACTCCAACTCCAATTTGAAGTACGATTTGACTTGACTTAAGGTTCCCACAGAAAAAAACAGATCCCAAGCAGGTTTTGCGGGATAAAAACAAAAAATGAGGACTTGAAACAAAAACCCAGAGGGCGAGGACAACAACCCATGGAAGGGGGCCCTCATTGGATCCAAGCCATAGGGCTTCCAGCCAAGTTCTTCTTCGACTCGGGGGACCTCCTCTGCCCAAAGCTCCTCGCCTTTTGTGCGTTCAAAGGGAAACTCCTCCGGCCGGTTTCAAGGAAAACGGCGTTTTGCGGACATAAGCCGCGAGTTTGGTTTATAAGGGGCCCTGTTTTTTCGGAGCCGCACAAGCGGAGGTCTCGTGACATGTGTAACATTGGTTCTGTGAGGCCACCTGCTTAAAGGATGATATAACTACCGTGCCAACAATATACAACTAGGATGATTCCTTGGTATGACTACCATCCTTATGACACAAATGCAAAGGATGACATCCCTGATCAGAATGTGAGGAACGGGAAAGCTGGAGCTAGAGAAACAACTGTGGCAACCGTTGCTTGGTCTGACGCCCCCCTGCTGGGGGTTGATGACCCGTCCCTACCAATCACAAGTAAGTGCCTTCTGACCGTGGCGCATGTGGGTCTCTTCTTTCGAGGGCACCCTCGAAAGAATGTTGTGCAAAAGGGGAACCCAAAGCAACCCAAGTTGCTTTTTTTGGGGGTCCACCATGTTGAGAAACACCCCACAAAGCGCTTGCTTGTGACACATCTAGGTCCTCCACTAGAAAAGTTAGAATAAGTTGGTACCAACTTTCCTCTGGGGAACCCTCCCCCCCCAAAAAAGAAACGGCAAAAGGGCACTACCGGGGGACCTAGACATAGCCATAGCCAACGGCGAGTGGCTTCTCATTGGGTGGGGGGACGAAGTGGTACTCATTGATCATCTCCTTCTCCTGCGAGAGGGCGCTGGGCTGTCCGTTTTCGGATCTGCGAAAAGTGGAAGACGTTACCTTCAATTTGGTCAAGACCCCAGGAAAAATATTTCCGGTAGTGATGAATTCCTTTTAAACCGACAAAGGAAAATAACAACTTGGTGTGTTAGGTGAGTTAAAAGGAAACCCCCAACACTAAGCCGAGTAAGAATCTAAAAAACCAAGCAAATGGCTGTTTTTTTTATTCCCAGGTCCGTTGTTTTACTAGGTTAGTGCAACATCCCCAGCATTATTTGGACCTTGGGAGTTGCTGGCGGCTGGTTTAAGTGAGGGGGGCTTTTGGCTGGCTTAGATCTTCATGAGGGTGGGTCTTGGGGTGGTGTGGGGTTGATTTTGGCGAAGAGGTTTAGGCTTGACCTGGTTTAGCAGCGTCTTGAGGGTCGCTTAGGGGGCGAGTTTTGGTCGTTGGGGGCAACGCTCCAAAACAAATCTTAAAACGAGACCAAAACTCACTTAACCACACCTAAAGCAATCCTAAAGCCCTCAAGTGCCACCCAATCAGAGCCAATAGGCAACCCCAAAGCAAATGAGACTGCTGATGCCGGGGATGCAGTCAGCCAACCAACCAACCAACCCAACCAAACAACTAAGCAACCCTCTACCAGAGCCCAAAAAAAAACGACCTAGAAAAAAACACTACCTCCACGGCTGGGCACCACCAAAATTACCGCTATTTGTGGAATTAGGGAGTCTGAAGAGAAGTGGAGGGTCCAAACGCGTGCCTTTGAGAGGGCATGATTGGCGTCTCACCTGTTGAAAAAATAATAATACACATCCCCGAGAGTCAAACTGAGCCTGCCCTCAGCAAATCCGCCAAGTTCAGCCAATGTTTGTTTTCAGACCTACATGGAACCCTCCAGACATCCCCCGAACCTAGGTATACCCAACCGTGCCTCGGCACGGCTTCAAAGCTTTTGTTAAGGACTTTTGCACGGGTCAATGATTTGGCGCAACAAGCCGGAACCTCCCCAGCAGCTGCCTGGAACCTGCCCAGAACTGGCCTAAACGAATAGGATAAGACCCCAGCTGCGGCGGCAAAAACCGAAACTCTTGATAGTGTTGCTGGGCAAATCATAGACTGCACCAAGCGAAGATAGGTCCCTATGAAAGGCAGCTTCATCCAAGGCGTCGGGTTTTCCCGGGTCCCCTGCCACATCGATAGAACTTGCCCGGATCTTGGGAGCGCCAAATGCGTTCCCCAAAGCGGCCGTAACCAACACCAGACCTAACAAATCCTAACAAGCTACACCCAGAAAAATTCGGCGCAACGCAGGCTACTGGTACCAAAACCCAAGAAGCCCAGCCCAAACAACACAAAACACACGCCAACCCAACCCAGGACAAAGCCAACCAAATCGAACGGTTGGCAACCTCCAAACCCCAAAACTTGGCTGCTGACGAGAGCTCTCTTCAACAAGTTTCACTTTTTGTGGCTCCAATTCGGAAATCCGAGCTGTTTCAAGCAAAAAGGTTCAAACATCCGTCACCAAATAGCCGTAAAGGGAGATCACCATCGGCAATTCTCCCATGGCTCCTTAAGTGAAATACAAGGAGACAACTTGAAGTGCGATCTGACTTTTTAACAAGCTTCCTGCAAGCAAGCACGCCCCCATTGGAAGCCCTGGGACAAATGCTATAGACCTTTCAGGCGAACATGGCCGTGGGAAGATGGGCCCTTCCTGTGATACCATGTGGTTGGTTCCTATGTGGCAAAGGGAGGGGGGGAAAACAAAAAAAACTCCGAAAAACTTTCAGCCAAAGCCTCGGTTCGCCGCGCACTTTTTTCAACACGCTGATAATGCATGTGTATATAAATACATATATGTGTATAATACATATGTATATACCTATTAAAAAAGAAACAAAAGAAAGACCCAAGAAAGGAGAGAAACAGAAACAAACAAAAAAAACGCTCCGCCGAACCGCTTCCGTGTTAAACGCGCTTTGCTGCTGCGCCGCTTGGTTTCACGTAAAACACGACACATCCGGGCCTGGGGATGCTCCAGGCGACAGACTCGGTTGGAGATGCGGGCACTCGCCTCACAGCTCCTCGGAGCTTCGAGCTCAGATCGGGACCCCGCCAAGAAGTCTTGGACGAACCACTTTAGGGGGTACATGGGGAAAATCATGGAAAATCCAACCACAAAGCACTAAAAAAAAACTACTTTTTGTAGGTGACAAAAACACTAAGTACCGAAAAAAGCTACATTTAGTGGGTCAAATAGGGAAATCCAACCACTAAGCGTCACTAAGCACTGAAAAAAGCTACATTTAGTGGGTGAAATGAATGGGGAAATCCAGCCGCTCAACCAACTAAAACAAGCTACAAACCTAAGGAACCGGATGGCTGGGAACCGCCAAGTTCTGTGATACAACAAGAAGGGCTTAAGGCTAAACCCCCCCCATATAAAGGGGGAATATTGTTTTGTATCACAGAAGTGGAGTGATCCCACCCTGTCCAGATCTCACTTGCCGCGCCTGGGGACTTGGATAAAGGTGATCACCTTTTTGGGACCTCTACGAAATATGGTTGCCAGGGGAAAAGCTTGCAAGGTCGGCTTGCAAGTGAGAGATGGGTCTGTCGTTTTTTGGGGGTCATTACCCTTCTCGGGGGTTGGAAAAAACAGGGAAACCACAAGGAAACCAGCCATTTTGGGGGTTGCTTCCCCTATTTTGAGACACACCCATATTTCTGAAACCCTGGCATGCACCCTTAGTTGGTTAGTTACGGCTTGTGGGAAATCAGCCCCAAAGTTCAAAAGGACCACCTATACAAGCAGCCTTTGAATCGAGTCACAATCACAACCGATCGGTATTGGAATGGTCTACAGACGCGGCCGCGCCGAATTCTGGCTGGGACTGTCCCTTGCTAACATTGGCTAGGGTCTTGATTCTGGCTCTTTTGCTTATTTCCCGTTGTCCAAACTGATTGCAGCTCACACTCGAAGACTCGTGAGTTAAACATGGACACCCAACCACCTTTCACTGGGCCAAGCAAAAACAACTCAAATAGATGGCTGGGCACCACCAAGTTTCCCTCGGTCAAACCCGGAACCCACTCACATCTTGTCGTTCACGCTGCAAGGCTTGGACTTGTTCACTTTAGCCAAGGGCAACGTGAGGTCGCAACTGACCCAGTACGTCTGGCGACCTTCCGCACGAAATTCCAAAGAGGTGTCTCGCGGCTTTCCTGTAGAAAGGGATGCTTGGCGTCAGATTCTTGACATAGGTGTCCTTTTAGGGGAAATAGATGGGGTTCCCTGGTAGATGATTAAACCACCAGGTAAACCAGGGAAACCCATCTATTCTTCGAGCAAAACAACCAAAAAGGACACCTATGATTCTTGATACCTAGTCTACCCTAAGATGTTATTCTTGGAGACACCAGAAATGGTGACTTTCATGTGAGGCAGGGTGAGAATGACTTGCTTCCCCAAGAGGCTCCATTCCCCGCTTCATGTACTCCCCTACAAATCAACAAAACACCCTAAAAACGGTGAAAGGTTTGAGGTGAGGGGTTTGGGAACGAATCATGGGGATCCCCAGAAACAAACCATAACAAGGGATGGGTTGATTGGGCTACCACGCCATGGGTTGTCCCTCGCTTTACCCGAATGGAAAGCTCGCCATTGTTGAAACTAGACAAGTCCCTTTGACTGATAAACAGATCGGAGCCCCTGCACAAAAAAGGCGAGTGGCACAAAGGAGAAACACACACACACACACCCACCCACCCACCCACCCACACACACACACACACACACGCAGACACACACACACACACTCATCCAGGCGCTCGGGCGCACGTGCGTAAGCAAACTCAAACGCGCGCGCACACACACACACACACACACGTGCAGCCTACAAACATGCGCATGTTCTTGCTTTGTGCGAAGTAACCCGTTCTATGATGCCAAAGTGGGTCATCCCCAGATCGACTTTCTCTTTCAGAATTGAGGCATCACAGAAAGTGGCCCAAAAACAGCAATATGTCCACAGCAATGGTGCGTACCTTCGTGCATCATCTGAAAACTCACTTTAGTCACTTAAGTCAGAGTAACCCAGGTCCCAGCTGCGAAAAATGCCCATTTTGGAGTGCGAACCCCAAAGCGGGCTTGAGTCATCCTAAAGCCAAAGACGGCTATTGGCGTCATCTGTCAAGCGAGGAGTTTCCACGAACGAGGCGCCCCTGACAATTTCCTGCTTAGTTCTCAGGGTGCCAGGTACAACTATATACATGTCAGGGTACATGTATACATATATATATATATATATATATGTCTCACATGCTCCCCCCCCCCGGCAAACCAAAAAAACTACAACCAACAAACATTACATAAAATTGTGGGGTTCCTGTGGTTTCATTTCAGCCAACCCCAAACAGGCTACCTTCAAGAAAAGACAAAGAAATATGTATGTCAGTGCATGTAGATACTAAACTATATATATATATATAGTCTACCTATCCCTCTCCAGCCCCTGGATGAGGCTTGGCCGCTGGTTATACACGAGCTCCTTCAGAGCACCATGGGACCGTTGATTAACAACTTGATGCTGACTACCTCGCTATACAATTGTTAGGGGGGTCTTAATCTTTCTTTGCAGGGGGGGTTGTCAATTTTAGAGACCCCTTTTGGGCGGTTGGTGTCCTTTTAGTTCCACATCCAACACAAAACAAATACTTGAGAAAACAAACATGTAGGTTGACGTCAAAACTTTTGAATAGGGAACCTCCCAAAATCAGTGATGTCCTTACACCTTCCCAATTACAAACCAGCCCCAAAACGGGACCGGACCTCAAACAAGCAGCGGGATCCCGGTGCGAAGGCACGAAAACGGTTGGATCCCGCCGAATTTTGCAAATCAAAGCGCGTGGCCGGGTGGGAAACCGTCGGCCCGTCTTGAAAGTCGGCCTGCATCATCATGCTTTCCGTCAAGACCTCCTTGAGAAGACAATCACAGAAACTCACTTGCTGAGTGGATGGCCAAACAAAAAGTCCAAACTTTTTGTTTACCACTAAAATGGTCTTCCCAAAAAGTATAAAGTTCATGAACTCAGGAAGTGAGGAAACAACAAAACCCAAAAGTGACACACGCGAAACAGGACACTGGACACCATTTGGCGTTTCAAAGCTCCTCCCCCCATTTCGTCGAACCGTCCGTTCTTCCGTTCTGTGGCTTTCTCCGTTTTTTGGTCCGCGGCTTGATTCTGCAATCCCTAAGAGGGGTAGGTACAAGAGGATGGGTCGACCCTTGAAGACTTTCCGCCTCTCCCTCCGTCCACTTCAGTCCGCGGGGCAGCTTGACACAGCCGCAGGGGTTGAGGCCCCCGATGATGGAGGCCAAAATGAAGGCCATGAAGACGTCGGAGCCCAAGGGCGCGATGGCGTAGAACCTGAGGCCCGCATGGTGGGGGGGGGGGGGCGGGGGTGAGGTTCCATTGGGAGCAGACCAAACGGGAAATATGTGGGGAAAAATAGGGGTTAGATATGGAAAGTCTGGGTAAAAATGGAAACAATTGGACTAAACCTGCGGCTTTTTGGTGGTTTAAGCTTGACCCATGCCCAGTGCGGCTGTACATTTCGAGGGTTGGAACCATCTCTAAGGTGGTTGGTGGCACCAAAGGGGTTCCCCCCATTAAAAAATCATACCCATTTGGCGTGCTACATAGGTTCTTCTTGAAATCTTTGAGGGTCTAAGTACCTTCTTAGGACGTACCTCTTCCGTTTCCCACGGCTGCAGGTTGCCAAGTTGGAAACCGACCACTGCGCCGAATTCGGCGCGGTGGCTGTTCCTCCAAAGGGGGTAGAATCCGCTTCCCGCTCGTGGGTGGTTTGGGTTGGTGGTTGGAGGTACCCTCTACAGCCAGGGTTCAAATCCCCAAGCCACGAATCCAAACCGCCAACTCGGGAGAAAACTTGGGGTGAGGTTTGTGACCCATGAGGCGACCAATGGATCCCAAGTGATGGGGTAAGAGTAGATGGAGCCTCCATATTCCGGGTTGAACATTGCCCGCTTGGAACGGGAATTGCGCAGTCCACCCTTGAAAAAAGGCAGGAATCTCAGCAAATCGGACTTCCAAACACTCCCAAAAAGACAAGTAGAACTTCCTCTAGGCAGCCGGTTTGTTAGAGACTAAGAGTTGGTTCCCCATTCTCTTCACCACAAACAAGCTGCAAACTAACACATTCCACCCATAAATGTGAGGGTCCAAGAGTCCTCTACACATGGGGTGTTGTTCCATGTTCATCCGCATGAGCATAGGTGACCTTTTGGCAAAAACAAATGGGGTTCCGCGGATGGTGCACGAACCAATGTGAATCTAGTGGAAATCGATTTCTATTTCTATTCAAACCAACTGATCAAACAGACACCCTCTTCTGCAGGTGTCCCCTTCAAAGGTTGCAATTTTACGGGTGGTTTCCATGGAGATCGTGCGACTGTATTCCAAGTTCGGGAAATGGCTCGGAAAAACCCCCAAAAATCTAGGGGGTTGATTCCTTTTCCATTCTTTGCAACCATCGTTCTTTTCAAAAACCAGCTGTTTACCCTGGGGTTCTGATGGTTTTCTGGAAAGAAGGATCCCTGGAAAGAACAAGGAAGAGGAAGTGTCCCCTAGACTTTCACATTCTGAAAGGTTGATCTGGGCTCTCATCAGCTTCCCTCTAACCGGGCTGCCCGTTTTCAGATCCCCTGCTAGAAGAAGCTAAGGAACCGGACGCCTGGGGGCCAGCAAGCTAAGTGGTTTGGATTTCTGGCTTGGTCAAGGAGGACGCTCTCATTTGTCCTCTTTGGCCAGGCTTCGACTCCAAACCAGCGGGCTCCAAACCACCAACACAGGGAGAGGTTAGGTGGAGTCGGATGGCAGGCTTCAAGAATGGTTCAAACAGAAATCTGAAACATCGGCTACAGAGACCACCAATCCAAACCACCGACCAAGGGTGACTTGTTCCAAAGATGCTGCACCCCTTTCTGCCATTCAAGGAGAGGCATGCAGGACCTCCGTTGCTTTCTGCTCCCCTGCTAACATTTTAACTTTTAGCGGTTTAATGGAAAACTCCTTAGTTGGCAAAAAGTTAAAGTCCTAACATTCAAGCAAAATGTCGCAAAGGGACATCCAAGTAACTTGTCCAGAAGAAAACCACCAAGGTATGGGTACCTTGCTTGCCCCTTAGGGGCCTGGAAGCAACAGGTTCGCCTGTTGGCACCTTCACTAAAAATCGACCAAAACATGGAAAAAAAACAAAAAAGGTCAAAAAAAGGTCGATTCACTTTGGACCAGTGAGGCATTTACCATTTCGCAACCCCTGCGCTCCCAGCTTGACAAAAGCGCGAGGCACATCAAGGGCACCAGCACAGGGCACAGCGGCACCAGGGCCAAGGACGCACCTGCCCGAGTGGGAAGCCAGGGCTTCAACAAAAAGCCCGGCTCGAAACGCCGAAAAAAAAAAGATACCCTTCCTCAGTCCTCACACATCTGTGGGTACCTTTGCGTTTCCCCCAAGAAAAATGGTCGGATTGACAAAACGTGTGTTTGGGGGGGGGGAGGGTAGGAGCAACTTGGGCGTGTCTGTTTTGTTGAGTTGGTTGTTCAAGCGAAATGAAAAGGACAACACAATTTGGGGGGCAAATTTTGAAAAAAACAAAACATATCCATACTGTACGGCACCCATAAGATCAGGGCACCAGTTGGGAGTTTGTCCACAGACTGGCAGCCATGGTTGGCCTGCCCGATATAAACTTGCAAAATGGTTTAGTGACCCCAGTAGAAGTGCAAACGGCGAGAAGAGCGAGAACATGGAAAAAAGCGGGTCGGTGGGGAGTTGAAGAGTATGTACCGCTTAGTGCCCAGTCCGGTCATAAGATCCGTACCACCAAAACAAATCTTGAGGGGGGCCAACAAAGAGTTAAGCAAACTGGATGCTTAGATCTTCCTAAACCCAGGTGTTGATGGCTCCTTTGGCCATCCGAACCCAGGACAAAAGGGCGGGCAAACAAAAGCGCCCTTGGCGCGGACACCCTGGGAAAATGTCAGCCACATAAATATATATATATATATATTAAAAAAAGAAAGAAAGATAATTCTAAAATATACAAAACGTCAATTTAAAGATAAGAAAGACAGGGAAAACAGATCCCGGTCTTTCATGCAAAGACCCAACAAGGCGGCGAAGGCACCGTGGCTTCGGTGAACTCATGGCTCGCGCTTCGGCTCGCAAAACCCTTCGATGCCACGCGGCGTTTGCTGCCGATCCGCACGGGGCCAAAGACGCTGGCAACACCCCAAGGAGCAAGTTGAACATATCGAATCAACGCCTTGGTATAGACCCAACAAACCCAACCTAAAAAATGGAGAGATCCGACCTGACAACCTCACTCTCTGAATGTGATCTGGGTTCGAAAACCAACTAACCCAGGGACACACACCCTATTAAACTGGGGTTGATTACTTTTCGGGTTAACTTGGAGGGGCTGTTTCATCCTTCTGCAGATGCTCATGCGGTTGGCACCCTTCTTTCTGGGCGGTTCCATGGTACCCTTCAAGTCAACATTACATTTCTTCCGGGGTGGCTTGCCTTTCCACCACCATTTAGAACGTACTTTGAGGATACCAGTTTAATAGACCCTGGCATTTTTCATTGGTGCCTTGACTCAACTTAGAGGTTCCGCGAGCCAATTTAGACGACTTTTTTTAGATCCGCTTTTCCGCGTGGTTTCCTGACGGGGTTAGGGCGAATTCCCGGGACATCTTTTGCCCCCCCGCGGCAGTTTTTGCTCCTTCTGGTGGAGTGTTTGGCCCCAAAACCCCCAAGGTGCACTCGGCCCGAAAGCCCAAGGCCATAGCCAGATTGTGGAAAAACGTTTTGACGTGCATGGACCTGGAATCTGGAAGTCGGACCCCAGCAAAATCTACTATAGATGGTTTCTCCCAAAAAAGGCTTAACGTTTCCCAGAACAAAAATCCTAATTACACAGGTGCAGAGTTAGCTTGTGCTTTTTTGGGGTCCACTTTGCTTTCCACCAAGCGCGGGATTTGTCTCTTTAGTTGGCCAAATTCGGCTGTAAATTCGGATCTCCCTGGTTGATTGTTTGATTGGGGAGTGCCCCCTTTTAGTGGGACAACAAATTCATTCCCTTTAAAGTATAAAGAAGGCACAGCCAAGCAAAGTGCAACAAAGACATGCTTGGTTTCTTTTTGATGTCCCTTTAACGTTCAACCTAATGGGGGGTCCTTTGAGACCTCCCAGTTCGTTTCGATCTCCAGGACCTCAGGAAGTTTTCACTTCAGTGGGCGAAATGTGGACACCCCAAGCTCTGAAAACGCCTTAAAAACAAAACCTCCGCACCCGGAGGGTTTGCTGGGACAGGGCTCCCTAGATTTCCCCTCAAAACATCACCCATGAAGGGAAGCTCACCTTAAATGGTTAAACAATTGAGGTGATGCGTTAAAATCCCTACCAACAGTTCGGGACATCTAGGGACCCGTGGGGAAAAATCCCCCCCCTCGGGTGGCATGAATCAAATCGCATGGATCGCTCGCCTCCCGTGGCCGCGGCCCCGGCGGTGGCGAAGGCCTGGCAGGCCGTGATCATGCTGGGGCCCAGCAGCACCGCGTTCCGCGTGCCTCGGAGACGCCGAGAAATCCGCTGCGAAATCCGCCGAGAACGAGGCCGAAAACGGCCGAAAACGGCCGAACACCAGGCCGCGCGGAGGATGGTTTTTGTTTTTTTAATGTTGGGGCCTCTCTTTGGGGAATCGGACCGCCCCCCACCAAAAGCAAAAAAATGGCGTCGGTTTTCCAGTTGGCTCTTCAAAATGAGCCGCCCATTGGGGAGTCGTAGGGTTTGACTTTTTGGCTTTGTTGCAAAGAAAGTCATCCCGCACGCCATAAGCCATTCGGCCAGGGACCTTGAGCAAAAGGGGCGGTAAAATCGGCAGAAACTGGTTGTGGCAAAAACTGGCTAGAATAATTAGGGGGGGGGAGGCGGGGAAGGTACCATAAACAAACACATTTAGGCAGATTTTTCTGAGTATACAACAGTAGTTGTTTAAACCCCCTTGCGCTTCCGCCCAAATCGAACACAAGTTCTGGCCTTTGTTTTGAGGCGAATGGTTCAAAGGACCCTCAGATCTCATGTTAGTGGATGCGCTGGCGCTGCGCTGGTCTATCCAGCAGGGGTCAAATTGCACTTCCGTCGTCGAAGGGCGCATGGCTCTCCCTCTGGCTTACGCGAAACCAAGCATAGGCGAGAGCTGTCAAATGACTGGGAACGAGCTATGCATTGGCCTCCCACCAGAAATCATCAACCCTCAATTTCTACCATGCTAACCGGGCTGGAACTAAAAGGGGACGTGTGTTTTGTTGCCCTGCTTTCCAAGACACCCCAGCTTGCCACTTTTCAATGTACCCTCCATGTTCCTATTCACCTCCATTTTCCATGCATAGTTGTTCCCATATTAGTTCCCATCATCCCTTTATCCCCCCCCAACTTTGCTTCAAGCCGTTTCATGTCCTTCCACGTTGCTCTCTGCTTTCCAAGGGTTTTCTCGTCCTCCTTCGCACTGCCCGCGCTTTTGCTCCCCTCTTCTCCACCGCCCCGCTGTCCGGACGCGGCTTCCCCGGACGTCCGCGCCTTCGCTGAGCACGGAGGCGGCCACGGCCACCATAAAGATCGTCTGGGTCTTCGCGGTGTCGCAGCCGCAGCCGTAGCCCACCTTGAGATGACTAGGTCCTCCAGTGGGGAGGGGGACCCAGCTTTCTGCCGTCTAGTTTGGCAGGGGCCAAAAAAGGGGCGAGAAAGGGCAGCCGGTTTCAAGTGGCAAGGGGAGTTATGAAGGGTTGACACTTGGTTTGGCTTAAAGATGGCTGGTGGAACCCCATCTGCTTTTTCTTGGCCGTTGTTTGGTTTAAACGACCCGTCCCCACTGTTACCAGGAGTCGCCTGTGTCAAGGCTTACCATCTCCCGGGGATGTAGCCTGGATGAAGCAGCAGTCTCCTTGGAGGGTTGAGGGGGGTTTGTTTGGCTTAAAACACCAGTCCCCAGTTGTGAGAAAGCAACATAGGAGGCTTGAACAAGAGTCGCCCGAAGTGGACAAAGAATTGGAACCAATGTGTTTCGGGGTTTCCATTTGGGAAGCCAAACGGATCGTGGAATCCTCTGAGCCAGTTGGGCGTTGTTGTCTCTCTTTGGGGGGGCCCCAAAAAAATTGATTCGGTTTTTTCCGGCCGGTTTCCCAACGAAAACGCAACGCTCAGAAAACGACGGCGCTCGCTCAAAAAACGACACACCCGTCGAGTCTTTTGCTCAGCTTCCCTTTGAAGGGTTCCAGGGCGACCCAAGAACTGAATAGCGTATCTGCAACCCCTCACCCAAGTCCACGTGAAAGGACATGGGTGCGTCGTTTACCCATCTCATCTTGGGGTTGGTTTAAAGGGAAACCGAAAACAAAAAAAACACTTTCATTCTAATTCATGTTTACCGTATTGCTCTTGATTGTTTTGGGGGTGGGGGCACAAAAAAGACACACGCTTGTGTGTCTCAGGGCTTAAACGGGGGTTAGACATAGTGTAAACTGCTTTGACCAACTGGCCTTATTTTATCAAAAGCCACCCTCTAAGTTGTGGGTTAAAGGGGCACAAACCAACTTTGTGGCTTTGACTCCGAGAATCTGGCCAAAGTTCTGACACTAACATCCTTTTGGTCTCGTCAATGAGGGAAGCAAAAGAGGGGGGGGCAAGAATTTGAGACTGCACAGCAAAGGAAAAGGGGCCTTGCTGTTGCTGTAGGACAACTTTTGGGACAACAACTGCTGGGGAACTTACCAAAAATGGTGGGGAACTTGCCAAAAATGGTGGAGACACCAAGAGAACCACAGAAAAGCCAAGGGTAGTCATGGAAGAGGTTGCCTTGTGAATGTGATTCCCTTCCCCGCTATGCCCTTTTTTTGGCCGTTTCTTTCGAAAGGCTTTGCCCAGAACAAATGTCATACGGGTGTCTTCAGTTGCTCACTTGCCAAAGGACCCAAAATAGAGAACATGTACTCGGTTGATTTCTGCTCCCTGCTAAAAGTTTAACTTTTAGTGGTTTAGTGGAAAACCCATTAGTTGGCAAAAAGTTAAAGTCCTAACAGCCAAGCAAAAGCACCAAAGTTTACCTTATGGGACCGCGACTAAACATGGACCAAATCAGAGTCGATTCGCTTTGGGGCAAGTGAGTTTCATTATTGGTTTGAACACATACGAGTTCCCTACGAGCGAATACAGCAAACGGGGGGAGAAAAAGGAAAGAAAAACACGCGCCTAAACCGCCAGAGGGAAGCTGGCCTCATGTGCCTATTCCGTTTTCGTGCCCTGAAAAATTGAGAAAATATGTCTAGTAGTGAAATCGACTCCTTCAAACACAAAAGGGAAACTAAGATATATTCATTTCAGCAAATGGAAGAACATAACGAAAAAAGGACATCTAAGCCCTGAAAAGACTTCGGCCGGGGCACGGGGCAGGGGCTGTCTGTGTTCTCCTTGCAATCGCCAGGCATCATGCACGTGTTGCCTACCGGGCGGAGAAAAAAACGGAACGGCGCCTTAGGGCGAGGACTACCACTAGCACATGGGGTGCGGTTCTTGGGAGTTGGCACCTTCTTTGGGGGTTTAATTGGAACCCAGACCAAAAAAACACACACACACACCCCAAAAAAAAAAACGACCCCCCCCAATTTGGGTGCTCTAAGTGACTCACCGTTGGAATGGGTGACCTAGAACTCCCCATTTAAAAAGACACCTCCATTTCGCTTCGAAGTTGAAGAGCGCGATATGACAACCGGCGGGTGAATGGGTGGAATGGGTGGCCTAGAACTCCCCAGTTAAAAAGACACCTCCATTTCGCTTCGAAGTTGAAGAGCGCAATATGACAACCGGCGGGCGAATGGGTGGAATGGCTGGCCTAGAACTCCCCATTTAAAATGACACCTCCATTTCGCTTCGAAGTTGAAACCGGCGGGCGAATGGGTGAAGCCCAAAGCCCAACTGACCATTTCTCTTGCCATAGGTGTCCTTTTGGCCTATCATGAGGGCTTGGGGGAAGGGAGAAGCAAATACGCCCCCAAACAAGGCCTTTTTTTGGGGGCCGTTTTTCAGGGGCTCCCTCCCCCCTGCCCCCCCTCCCCCAGTTTTCATGAGCTTAGCAGGCCCAGATTGATTAGAAACGGAGTTCCAGTGGTTGGCAGAAAGCCATCCAGGGCAACCCATTTATGTGTCCACCACTTGGCACAGCTCCTCCTAGCGGCCGTTCAAAAAAAAGAAGTTTCCAACAGGTCACCTATGCTTCTTGACCTCTTTGTCAAAAAGTCCAGGCCCGCTTTCTGGCCCGCTTTTTTTGCGGGTGCCAAGTACCTGTTCCTGGCAAGTGGAAAACGGCCATGTTTCAGTGTCGCAGTCAGGTTACTCCGGAGGTGGGTGTCGTGGATGGGCTTGCAGCTCTTGTGTTTCACCAACTTTTAAACCACACAAAAGAGCTTCAGTTGTGAATCTAAACTCCGAGAGGTGCAAGCTGCCGCAGCTTCCATGAGGAGTTTGAGCATGGGCAAGCTTCCTGGATAGAGTTTCTCCGCCCGGGTGCCCCACTGCCCCCCTTACCCCTTACCCGCTTACCCCCTTTGCAGCCAAAATCCACCAAAAAATGATGCAACAACAAACAAGATCAGTGAAGGTATAGTCTTATACACAAGTGCTAGCTTGACTTGAGACGAAGAAGGGGTTTTCATAAGAAATATCAGGTGCCCTTACCCCCTTACCCGCTTACCCCCTCACCCAAAATCCACCCGCCCGCCGGCCCATTTCTCCCTCCAGCCTGTGCAGTCCGCTTCACTGTAGCAGCTCCGGGTGATGGTGTCCGACACCTCCATGCCCGCGGGCTTGCCCTGCCTCGGAGATTTAGGTTTTTGGCTCTGGCCTCGGGTTTTGATCGGGGGTGTCCCCGTTTCCGAGGGACCACACCCGTTTCTTTCCTCTTTTGGAGGGAACCACCCCCTAAGAATGGGTCAACCTTCCGCCCCCCGGCTTGGTGGCCTTTCTCACCTTTTCTTTTTGGGGGGAGGGTTCCCCCACCAAAGACTACAGAGAAAAAACATGGTACCCTTGGTACCTGGAGCCTCCCTCTGACCCGAAATAAAAATGGGTCCATGACCCAAAATTATTCTGGGTAATGACCAACCATTTTTAAAGGGTCATGGAGACTCCAGGTACTTGCCTCACGTTGGCAACGGACCTCCAAAGGACACCATCCGTGAAGTGAGGTCCCTCCAGTTTCTACCAAGAACTTATGGGCTGATTCCTTCTCCATCTCAGCCATCCTTCTTTTCAAAAACCGGATCCATTTCCTGATTTAGACCCGGAATCTTTTCGTTCGAGTGGTATGCGCCTTTATCACTCATCAACATGTATGAGCAATGTCTATTATTCCAACAATATTAGAACCAACCAAATATCCTCCATTTTCCACCATGCCACTTGGGTCAAAAAGGAATCGGTATAGTGCTACAGGCTGTGCTGCAAACCAACCATGCAATTAGGCACTAGGACAAAGGCCTTCGCCAAACTCACTTGCCCAAAGGACCCAGAAATAATAAAAAAAAAAAAAAATCACCTTTTGGGGGCCATGACTAAAAATGGGAACCCAAACTGGAAAACCAAAAGGTTAGATCAGGTCGATTCGCTTTGGGCAACTGAGCAAAATATCCGCTTTGGAAAACCCCGTACCCCCAGTGAACATCCCAATCCCACCACTAAACTAGGTTCTAAAATGGGTGGTGAATTCACCTACCCCAAAATGGTACCATTGGTTTTGACCCATGGCCATATCCTACCAATAAAAAGGACATCGCGTGTACCAATTGCACAGCCCCCAAAAAAGCGGATCTCTCTTTCGTCGAGTCTCGCGAAGTACCTCCGCAGCTCGGCCATGACGTCCTGCCGTGTCACCTGCGAGCCTCACCGTCTTGAGAGCTCTCCGTGCTTCAGTCGGCGCGGTGGGGGTGGTGGGGGCAGTGGACACCAAGAGAACCACAAAGCCAAGGGTCATGGAAGAGGTTGTTTTGTGAAACGTGTGATTCCCTTCCCCGTAAAAGGCCCCTTTTTTGGGCGTTTCTTTCGAAAGGCTTTGCCCAGCACAAATCTCTGAGCAGGGCTGTGGGAAATGGAATCCACTTCTGTGATGCAACAAACAGGGCCTAACCCCAAAGACATTTTCCCCCCATAAGGGAGATTCCCGCAGGTATCACAGAAGTGGTGGGATAAACCCCGAGTGATCAACCACAAGATGGGCTTCTTTGAACCCAGTCGGCTTCTGGGCACTAAAATGGTGGTCCCAGTTCCAAGCAGTCCAGAGATTTGAGTCTGTCCCTTTGGTTTTTCTTATGGGCTGATCTTGTTCCTTTGGTTTCCCCAAAATTCTAGGGGGTGGATTCCCCATCGTTCCTTTAAAACACCAGATCCGTTTCGCCTGGGATTTTGGACGGTTTCCTGAAAAGATTCGGATCCCTGGAAAGAATGGGGAAGGTACCCCCAGAACCATTTGGGAATGGGTCAAAATTAAACAAAAAAACACCAGACCGCAGGCTTTTGGGCGTTTTGTTTTTTCCCATTTAGGACCACCCATTTTGGATACCTATTTACTCACTGCCAAATGGAGGGTCTTCACAAAATAGATGTCTGTCCACATGCTTCAGCCTATTGACTAAACAACCTCCTCTTGGTTTCCCAGGAGAAAGGGTCTGAGTTTAAACGAATTCTGGCCTGGCCCCAACTGGGGGGGGTGCCCGTCCCCAAAAAGGCTGATCACTTTTGGTAGGCTCAATGGAAAGCCACTTGTTCTTTTCAATATGTGCTGAAGAACGGGCACTAGCTTAGGCACTAACCATGACCACATGTTGAATGACTAAAACCACTAGAGATGGGGAGGGGTCCCGTATGGTCCCGTACTGTCGCCACTGGTTTTGAAACCTGATCTTCGGGGCATTTGTTGGATACATACTGGCACAAGCCATTCCCTCCAAATCGGTCGAAGTGACTGCTGGGGATGTTCTTGCGCTCCGAGCTGACCCAGTTGTTGGTACCTGCGGAAGCTCAAATGCAGCAAACTCACTAGAAAATAAACATAAAGACTAGTCCTCCAGTAGAGAGGTTAGAATAAGGGTACCCTTGTTTCTGTAGTTTATTTGAGTAGAGGAGCCCTCCCAACATCTCCCAACCAAAAAAGGGGGGGACCAGGTCCTGAGACGTCTCTGGCCGAAAAACAAGTCTCGGGTGGCCATGGGGAACCAAGGTCATCTTGTTTCTTTGGTTGGGTCTAAAGGGGAACCCTTCCCCCCAAAACAAGCAAAACAAAACAAACAAGTTGGGCGCCACAGGAAAACTGAATGCGCCCAAAAAGGGTGAAAAGGGAGCCACTGGGAAACTGAATGACAAAGGGTTCCGACCCTGTTCCCTAGATTTCCTCTCAACGTCACCTGCGCCGAAGCCTCCGCTCAAAAACAAATGATGCTGCAAAACCACCCTTTAAAGGGCGGAAATGCGAAGCCTGGGATCTCACAAACTCCCCTACGTTCAGAGAATGTTCGCCTTCAAAGTGGGCATTCCAACGTATGAGCTCTTTCCGAGGCTGGGGCAATCTTCAGGCATCCATGGCGCGGATACCAAGTGAATAAGGGTACCCTTTATTCTGTAGTCTGTTTTAGTACGGGAATCCTCCCAACCAAAAAAGAAACGGTAAAAGGGCACTACTGGGGGACCTAGTCCTGAAGAAACACCTCGGAAAAGTGAGAAATTCCTGGCCACCTGATGGCTCCTTGGAGGGGCAACGCCACCAAGGGGAGGGGTGAATTTGAGCGCGCGCCGCGCGGACAAGACACAAATCTGGAGGCAACTTTCACCAACCTGAATTGAGGAGGCATGTGTCAAACATAGGTGGCCTTTGGAGAAATGGCACTGGCAAACGCAATAAGAGCCAATCTGAACCAGTGCCATCTGATTTCTAACCAAACCAACCTTTGAAGGACACCTATGTTCTCAACATCTCGGACCTTAGCTTGCCAGCACCAACTACAAGACCCCATAGACGAATCCAAACAGGATAAGTCAAGCGAGCACAAAATAGATGTGCACAAAGAAGAGCCCAACACGCGCACACACACACACACACGCATATATATATATACACATATATACATATATGTATGTATATATATATATATATATTCCTAGAACTTCTTTTAAGAACATGTTCCCAACATTTTCCTCAAAAAACAAAATAACGCGAATTGTTGGAAAACCAACTTATTTACGCAAACAAACAAAAATAACAAAAAAGACAGATAAATTTTGGTTCCTCTCCATGGTTGCTTGCCAGCCACTACCGAGTAAACCATTTCCTCCATTTGCTTAAGTCCCCTGAAAAAAATAAGAAAAATCCAGTAGTGAAATCGATTCCCTTTAAAGCCAACAGGGGAAAATAAAACATCTTCTTAACCAAATGGAAGCTACTGGTGGCCCAAATGGAAACCCCCCACTAACTCAACCAACATAAACCAACTAAACGAGTCGCTGGTGGAACCACCGAGTTAAACCATTTTACCCCAAAACCACCGCCGACTGGCCGACTGCCGAAAGGGCGCAAAGCCCAATGGTGGCCGTCAGCTGGCCGCCCAGGTCCGACGCGCCGTCGTCGGCGGAGGGCAGAGACATGGCCTCCACCTGGAAGCAGCTCTCGGCGTAGGACTCCGTGTAGTCCTCGGGAGAAAAACTCACCTGGTGAGCTGTACCCTCAACAAAGGGCACACCCACGTGGACGGACCACCCAGTTCTCGGCGGGTTTCCTTAAAACAAAAAACAAAACACCACAAAGAAAGGGGATACCCTCCTCAGTTGTTCAGTGACCCTGAGAAAAAAGGGAACCCTTTTTGGGGAAGACTATTTTTAGTGGGGCAGCCACCCACGGTCCGACGCTGCAGCTCTTGAGGGAGGGGGAAGCAAAAACAAGACGAGGACTTGGTTTTCAGGAGAAAAAGACAACAAGTAAGAGGCAGACTGTTCAGGAGGGAAAAGACCAGTTTTCTAGGCCACTGGTTTTCTCGGCGACCGGTTCATTCGGGAGGGGGAAAACAAGACGAAGACTTGGTTGACCGGAAGAAAAAAGGAAAAAAACAAGACAAAGACTTTGGTTTTTAGGCGACCGAGACAAAAAGACGAAGACTTGGTTTTAGGAGGAAAAAATAAACAAGACGAAAACTGTTCAGTTTGGAGAAAAGCCAAAAAAAAAGACCCAGTGCAGTTTTTTAGAGAGGGGGAAACAACAACAAGACGAAGACTTG